AAGACCGCAAGATCGGAAGGGTTGACTCGGCCGAGGAGAGCAAGAGAGACGGAAGCCCGGGGTGGGCGGGCAGAATACCGTTCCCCCGTCGTCCTACTACTCAGCCTTGCCTCCTTGTCGAAGCTCCTCCGAAGGGCTCCTACTCCTTTTCTCCTTCTCGTGCCATTACGTTCTCACTCCCTCCTCCTCCTCTCTCTCCTCCTCTCCCGTTTTCTCTCGCTCGCCCGCGCGCTCTCTTGTGCGCGCGCACGCACGCACGCTCGTGCGCGAGGGTAGTTGAGAGAGTCGCTCTTTCTCCCGAAGGTTGATTCCGTGACGTCCCTCTCTGCCACGTATCGTAAATGTAATTAAAGGGTTTCCACGCGGGTCCCGCCGCGGCGGCGTATTTCGTTGGCCGGCACGAGATCGCCGAAGAATGGCTGAACGATAGCTTTCCGAAAAGAGTATCGATTACGCTAGAAACGTTAAAAATGTTCGTGTGGAAGAAGGAGTCGAGCGCCTGTCTCGCCCCGGAATACTACGTTCCGCACAGCATATTTCTTCATTCCAGCACGCTCCCGGTCGTCCCCTTGTTCTTCATTTAAATCAGTTCCCTTTTCACATCGCCGTTATACGCGATTCGCGCGAGCTTAGAGCTGTTATGCGTGACAATTAACGTCTTTACAGCATGCCGCGTGTTATGCCGAAAGTTTTTCAACGCCGCGGAACTTTTCTACTGTGACGCGCACGCGAGCGCGCAAGCACGATTCCTCGCACAGCTAATCCTGACTGGTGCACCAAGACGTAACTGAAGACTGTACTTATTTATAAAAAAAAAAGGTCTTGGACATGTTACTTTTTTTATCAGTTGATAACATTGTAGAAGAACAAATGGAGAAATTGGTAACATAATTAAAATAAGAAAAGAGAGAAAATAGATGTAACAGCCATTGAAGATATTGAATTATGTTGAATGGTAGATGCTCAACGTCTGTTACTTCGGAATATTCATTCGTTATCTGATTCTAAATGTTACTCGCTTAAAGGGTTACATTCAATGTCAATAGGACACGGGGCGGGCGGCTGCGTTTAGCTCTAAATGTATGGCGCGAACAGCACCGGACCTTTGTCTCTCGTTTGCTAAAACACGCGAGACGTTCGTAAGGCGAGGTTGTGTAATACCCGCAAGAAGAGACGTAATCGGCTGGATGTGTCCAGACACGCGAGAATCCGCACAATCGATAGCAGCCCATCCCCCCGACGAGTTCCACGAAGATCGAAGTACGAGATCACCTCGCGAAGTTCTCGGGCACGGACGCAATTTGACTCCAGTCCTTGGCTGAGTTCTTACGCAAGAGGCATATCGTTTTCTCGACAATTATATACCCAGGGCCCCCTTGTCTCGTGCGAGCCGCCGTTTTAGGAACGATCTCCTCCACGGGCGATCCGCGAAATGCCAGGTTCGACAGATCGTGGTCTCGGAGTCTTCATCGATCACGAAGGACGCGAAGAACGGTCGGATGGACGGTACATCCGCACGATTCGAGAGGAGGATTCATCCCGCCGAGAAATGGTAATTTGCAGGTATACTCGCGCGAGCGAACATTAGTCTGGCCGGTATTCGCGTGCCTCGCAGATCATCCTCTCGTTCTCTTGCTCTCGTTTCGCTCTCCTCTCGTTTCACGTTTACATAACAGAAGCATGTTTTAAGAATGCTTCAGAGTCGAGAAACATTGCGAGTTTCAGGAATAAACAAAGCTTTTGAGTGTCTATATATATATATATATATATATATATATATCTTAACGGAAAGTCAATTTCCCATTGACAGGATGAGTTAGCGCATCGCATACGCGAGTTTTGTAGCGTTTAATGTATGAAGTGTCGAATGACAAATAAATACGAGGGTAACCGCTGTACTCGGTCCCTGTAACGACCCCCCGTGGAGTGATTGTGAGACCCCTTGACTTCTGACACTCTGGTACCCTCTTCTGTCGACGTTGGCGCAGGTTTGCGCTCTTTCACGGATCATCGCCCATTAACCAGAGTGTTTCCGACTCGTTGTGGACGGTCCAAATGTTATGCCACTGAATTTTTCAAACATCTTGATCCTATTGTCCTTTTTCCCTCAACTCTTTTAGTCCGAACGAGGAGAAGATCGATTTTACCAAAATTAAAATCCATCGATATATCTGCGTACCTACGTAAGCATTTTTTTTTTATTTCATGTTGCAAATTAATAATCGGGTTAATCTTTTGGCGTCGGTATATCGTCTTTGTATCTCGTCCTTAATTTGTTCGGTTCGTGCAAAAGTCGTTACAAGACGGAAGCAAGGCGACTTTGGGCGATTATTCGTCTGTCTACCGTCCGGGTACACCTCAGAACGGAAACTAGAATACGAAATTACGTTACCGCATTACCTTATCAGATTCGACATAATAGCGACGATGGGACAACCCCTAACAAAAAAAAGATCGGATCGTTACGACAAATTAATTTATGGGCACTGTGCGGAATATTCGGAGGAAGGCGTATCTGGTTGGCTCAAATATGTCCTGCGTGTCCAAGACAGGTGAGCGGTTTCAACCCTCGGTACATCTCCTTGGCATCTACTCTGCTTATCTGACGAACTTCGGTTTTCACTGACGCGTATTTCCCCCAAAAGCCGATATTCTTCCCCGTTATAATTAGCTAATAATAACGTGCAGAGATGTCATTAAGATTTTGACACGTCTTTTCACTAACAAAATCATGTAAGATTGTGGCACAATTTTGTTGTGCCGATTAATTTATCCTCGCCTAACATTTTATCGAAGACGAGTAAAGCAGAGATGTTTACAAGTAGAAAAGACTATCGCGTCTTTCTTTTTTGTTGGTTCTCCTCAACGATGATCTCGCCTAAAATATGCAGCTGCCGCCTGTCGATCCATCAAAGATATTAGGAACGCGTTCCTTCCCTTTTCGTTCGCCTAGAAATCGTCTTTTTGCCGCGGCTATAACACCGCAGATTTCACGGCGGCGGCACCTCGATCAAATATTAATCTCATGGATGAAATTGTAATTTATGAAGAGGCAACGAAGGATAAGGAATCTACGGAAAAAAGTGTGTGCAAGGTGCACCCACCATTTCTATAAGGCTATATAGATCGGAGAGCAGGTAGTCCAATATATTTCCGTGCTTCTCGTGGATGCGAAGAAATCTTTAAGCTCCGAACGCTCTCGCTTCCGAACGTTAATTGACTTTTCCGAAAAATTATTTTTGAAACGTCAAAAAATTGTTCGCGCTCCCGTATCGCGTAAAGGCAAGCTTAATTATTATTCGCTCATAGCGTGCTATTTTTCGTCGATATTGCGCATTATATTCGAGTCAACGGCTATGGCTGGCGGCTGGATTAAATTGTTACGTCCGCCCTCTTCCACTTACTTACCCCGTCCGTCAGATATCGAGCTTCGAATTCCGGTCGAAGCTACCCTGAGGCAGCGTCGATTCCCAGAGTCGTAGGATCGATGACCAACGTACACCACCACCACCACCACCACCACCACCATCACCATCACCACCCTCCGCGCGTCCCCCGCGCCGACTCCGCTGGTCGCCCCGCTGATCTCGGCTCTCTTAACGACGGTGATAATATCGCGCGGTCTGAGTGGCCCGATGACACCCGCGCTGATACACCCCGGCCCTGTCATTGGTCACCCCGCCGGATGGATGGTATTAGAGGGTTTCGCCGATTGGCGGCCTCTTTGGAACGCCCAGGAAGGATGCGCAGCTGCCAGGACATGCGTAATCCGTCGGCTTGATCGACGTCGAGGGAGTAACGCGCGACGCAACGATCATTCCCACGTAGTAGATGCACCACCACCTCACCGCTTCTTCCCTGCGGACGACACTTGACACTCCGCCACCGATCGTCGCCTTTCGTCGCATTTTAAACGTAACCCAACCGCGTAAATTTCAGCGAATCGATCCGAGTTAAACCCACGCTGTTTAAAAATTAATTGACATTGTCTAAGGGCGATGGGGTGTATGTCCTTTAAATTCATGCCGTTTTAAAAAAATTAACTGACGCTGTCGCATTTGTCCAGAAGCGACGGAATGTGCCGTTACGTCAGAATTTATGCGAACGATTTTTGAAAATATTAATATAATATATTAATTTCTCGCGGTGCATTAGCCGCCGCGGATTTTTCTCACGAAAATCGTCATATCGGTGAATACGATATCGTCGCAGGTGCTGCGCAAAATATTACGAACGCCTGGAAAAAAATCTTTGTTATTCGAGAGAGCGCAGTTTCGGGGAAACCGAGCGCTCGGAGCGGCGAGCAAAGAATTTCGATAATTGCGAGCAATTGCTTTATTATCCCAGCACAGCAGGTGCCAATAATGGGCGGTGCCTCTGTGTCTGTCGGTCCGTAGCTTCGTTATACAAACAGTTCATTCTATTTATCTCGTCGTTTTTCTTGCATCGCTCCGAAACGCTGAAAGGCTAAGCGAATTCAAACCGGCCGCTATACAAAAATTGGAGAAAACGACCTATACATTCCCGCTTTTTAACCCTTTCACTCGATTTTTCCCCTTTCAATTTTGAAAGATTTACTTAAAATTAAAGAAATTCAAAATTAAACAAATCGAAAAACATATATACATTAAAAAAAATGCTCTAAAATCTGAAATTTGAAATCTAAATGGTTAAAACTGAATTTAAATAATTCCTGAAGATATACACGATTGTGTAACATGCAGTTTCAGATTTGAGACGATTAACACGCATCTCAAC